ATACACGGACCCTGCTACCTAATACACGGACCATGCTACCTAATACACGGACCCTGCTACCTAATACACGGACCATGCTACCTAATACACGGACCATGCTACCTAATACACAGCCAGTTCAGACACTGTTGGCCAGTCTCCAGCTGACGGTCTCCAGCTGGCGGTCTCCACCACCTACACTTGTTCAGATGCCCCGGGGGAGGTGAGGTGCTCCTGGGGATGGTGGCCTGCCTGCCTGGAAGAGGAGCCTCCGGCTGGCCCTCTCCACCACCTACACTGGGAAAATCAAAGCAGGGAAGACCATGCAACTCAGGGAAGTGAGCCTGAGACTGTGAGCGAGGGGAGACCAAGGCCAGGACAGCAGTGTAACAGCAGTGTAACAGCAGTGTAACGTCCTACTGATCTCAATTGCCAAGGCTCAGCACCTGTTGTTTCCTTTTGTTTTTTAACTTCTGCTGTTGCTACAGTGTTGTGCAGCCAGTAAAAGTGAACAAAATCTGTGTTATTATCATCATCATTGTGGTGACTCGTCAGAGTAAGTGATAACTCTGCCTTCTCTAAGGCACAATTATCTACAAATGAAGATCAGTAAAAGAGCAGCCCTGAATGAGGCCGTAGCTGGCTCCCGGTCTCTGGCCTGTCCCCTTCCCAACCTTCTTGAAGAAGAAATCTCCCCCTTATTGCCTTCCACCATGCCTGGCCCTGATGGTGGCCCTGGCGGCCTTGAGGGAAGAGGCTTACTGGGGCTCCTAAGAGTGTGTAGACCAGGAGGACCCCACCTGCTCCCCTCAAGGCCCTGGCTCTGTGCCCCAGCACACCAGCATGGAGCAGCTCTCCATACTCAACCCCACCCAGCACCCCCCAGCTGGCTTACCTGCAGCATTCACCTGGGCATCCTTTGCCTTCTCTGGGGCTGAGAGCTCAAGAGCACGGCTTAGGGACTCTTTGGAGAGTGTCTGCCCATCAGTCAGGGAGCTGGCGGGGGACCGGAAAAAACATTTCATTAGAACGTGATCCAACACATCTCTCAGTACCCCAGGGTGACACTGGTATCTTGGCCTCCTGCGGACTCTTTGGGGACCACCCACAGAGGGGGCCCCAGTGAGAGTTGAGAGTCACGGGAGAAGACCTCAGCAGACCCTGCCCCCCTAGCCTCTCCCTGCAGGCTCTGAGGGCTCAGAAGAAAGAGAAATGGAGTCTGGGTGTGCACTATGTGAGTTTGCTGTGTGACTCTTGTGCAAGTTCAGGCCTCTCTCTGAGCCTCAGTGTCCCCATCTGGAAAAGGAAGGCGTTAGGGCCTGGTGCTAGAAGATTCTAGGTACCAGTCCCTCAGAGAGCAGGCTTTCAGGGTAGGGAGGCGCCCCAGCTCCTTACCCCTCCCCCACCAGTCTTCCACCATATGTAGAAACTCAAAATGGAGCTGTGGGTGTCCGAGGGCTTTCAGGGGTCCTAAGCAGGTCCCCAGATGAGAGTGTCTCCTTTCCCACAGTGCCTATGGGTGCACCCCTGTCTGTTCACCACGTGGAGAGAATGGGCATGTGACCAAGGAGACCTGGGGCTCAGTGCCATCTACTTTCATCCATGGCGCAGATCCCCTTGCTTCCCAGGCTTGTGGACCTGCATAAAGGGTCTATTCTTTTGGCCATCCCAGGGGTTACTGGGCTTCCATTATTATCTCAGCCTGACTCACCCCTCAGCAACACTTTTCCTCAGGGTTCATCTGTCCAACCTCAACCTCCTGGGTGGCTGGGCAGATGGATTTAAGTACATGCTCAGGACACTACCGGGCCGCAGGCTCACATAAGCCAGGGACACCTTTCACAGTCATCAGTTATGTAAACAGAGCCCACTGGAGTGGCTCAGTGGGCAACCTGTGCAGCAGGTCATGGCAGCCCCGATGGGAGAACCCTGGCTCCAGGGAGTTCTGTCTGCTGTCAGGTGGGGCTAGCCCTATCCTGCCCAGTCCCCAGGAAGCCGGGCCAATTACCTGCTTCTCACATTCAGCCTTACTCCTTGCCAGCATTGCAGGTTCCGAACAAAACTAAGTTTGTAAACACACCCAGGCCCACTTGGCGGCCGTCTGCTTAAGAACCTGGGATAGGTTTTAAAGCAAAAGACATCAAGAAGTTATAAAGGGAGAGGGATAAGGAGAAAGGGAATGAGTCGGGGTGGAGCTAGCCCCTTGTTTGGGAATTTTGTGAGCAAGTCCTGGGCCACAGGGCTGGAGCAGCCCTTCTGTTGCTACGGTGATCTGTTCTGGGGAGGTTGTGGAAGGACTAAAAAGATGACAAAGCATGGTTCCGTGGTGAGGCCTACTGTCCCGGGCAGGGGCTACAGAGTTCCTGAATGCTGTGGAACTTGTCCTGCTGATTTGGGGCATGAGTTATAGCCACTATTCTCTGTAGGCGTCAGGTAGAAGCTGCCGACATTTGGGGACAAAGAAGACTGTAATGTTATAGTTGGCCCCTGAGCCTGGCCTTAGGCAGTGAGAAGGCAAATAAGGACTTGAACACAACGAGGCTCAGGGTCCTGACTGTTCGAGTCCGGGGGAGGAATGTGAACGTGGCTAAGGTCCATGTCCCATTGCTCAGAGCTGACCAGCCTTTGCAGTCCCCAGCTGGTCGTCCACCCACACACGGGGCAGGGCCATCCTTAGCTATAATCTCCCTGCATCTTAACTGCTCCCTCACAAACAAGTCTGTTTGTAAATCCCCACCATCAAAAGGAACAGGCAGCATTTTTCCCTGCTAATAAAATCTGTGTAAACTGGCTCTGGTTTTAAAATAGCTAAACAAAGACTAAATGAAAAGACAGCACCTAAGGAAGCCGAGGGCCAAGCGTCCTCACCATGATTAGAACTTTCTGTTTATAGGGACAATGAGGCTGCTGGAAGCCCCTTCCCCCTCTGGGTGGGTGCCTTCTCCGGGGAGTGGGCACCCACTGCAGCGTGGAGGTTCTTGTTGCTCAATGTTCTCATCCAGTGACCCTGTTCTCTCCTCCTGCCTTTCTTCAGTGAGAGGGTGGCGCTAGCCCCCTACAGGTCCTGGTTTGTCCAGCACACCTCACTATCCTTGTGGCTGGCTGATGGGGGCTTATTCAACTCTCTAAAGCTCCTGCTTACAGATTTTTGAGCACCTGATCAAGAGGATGTCCAAACCAAAGTGAGTTAAGCTTGCTCTTTTTATTTGCTAAACCTTTGAGATTTAGTCCCTCTAAGGAGCTGTCATCTGAAATAGAATATCCTAAGCCTCCCTGGAACTTTTTTCCTGTTCACTCAGGATTGTTACTAGTAGTAGACTTTACCAGTCTGGCTTATAACGTGAAAGAGAGTCGAACTGCACCACTGCGAGGGCCGTCTGCCCTCTTCCTCTTGGCGGCTATCTTACACCTTATTGTTGTAGGTAATCCTCTCCTGTATTACTAACAGTTACATCTTGCCACTGTCAGGGCGCTGGCTTCTAGCACCTCCCTACTACTCTGCTGTTTCTTTTTTGGATAGAACAGAAAACAAAACATCCAAGCTTGATAGACTTACAGGTTGAATCAGACAAGATATCCCCAAATGGAACCTATTATGTTTTGCTCAAAGAAAGGTACCTGAAGTTTGGGGAGCAAACCCTATTCTGATGCCTGAAAAGCTTCTTGGGGCCTTTTGATTCTTGCTGTTATTCTGGGCAGCAAAGGCGGCTGGTGAATGGTCCCAACAGGTGAGGTGATACTACGGTCATGATCACAATGAGTCTGTGGATCCACAGTAGTCTGTAGATTAGACTACTGTCATGATTACAACATATTATTCCTGTAATTCTAGAAAAATGGTACTTGTCCTGGAATGCAATACTCCAGAAGTTGGTAGAACCCGAGGTAGAAGTCACCTAACATAAGAGAATGACAATGATGGTGGGAGAATGGCCAGGTGAGGCTGACGTGCCTCTGCCTGTAACTCAGATTCCTAGGAGGAACCCAAAGGGCCTTCACATGAGCACATGGTAAGCGCACTGCCTTTCTCCTCTTTCACAAGACACACGCACAACTCCATTAGCACCTACCCAATAGCAAGGGAGCAAGAAAACCAAAGGCATGTTGGAGCAAACACCACGATGTGAGGGGTGGGGGGCAGGGGAGCCTTGAGAGTCTGCATGGCGTCCTTCCCTGAACTGGTAACTGTCAGAGGGACCTGTCTAAGCACAGAGCCTCCTCCCAAGCCTCCTGTAGTGCCCCCTTCAGGAAGTCCTCCATTTCTCAACACCCTCTCACTCTCACGGCCCTTGGACACTCAGGCCACATGTGGCTTGGGAAACTCCCCGAGAGACACGGTCACCCCTGATTCAGCCTAGTCCTCTGGCCCTGAGTATTCACCACTGAAGCTCAGAAAATATTGGTTGTTACTAGTGTATGCCACATAAATCGAAGGGGGCTCCCATTTCCCAGCTGTGAACACCTCATAGGGGAGGATCCATTTCTTATTTATTTCTGTTGCCCTCAGCAGCCAGGACACAGTTCTGTATGCAGCAGGTGCTCACTGAATGCTTTCTTGAAATGGCACGCATTGAAGCTCACCAGAGTTTGTCTGCCTGGGTTCCTAGCTGTGTGACTGTGGCCAAGTTGCTATATCTCTCTGAGCCTCAGTTTCCTGCCTGTGTTCTGACTACGAAGGAGAAAATGACACATGGAAGTGCTTAGTACATGCGTAGTTAGTGCTCATCATTACTGTGGGTGGGTTCTTGTGGGTCTTTTGGGGAGTACGAAGATCCTTTGGTGAGATGGGGAGGATGACTGAGTGGGTGAAACCCTAAGCCCCAGCTGTGGACCCAGCTGCTATGTCAACTATTCTCCCTGGGAGCCGGGCTGGGGGCCGGGAGGTGGGAGGAGGTGGGATCCTTGTTCCTTACACGGTCCTCAGGATGCAGCTGGCAGACCTGAGCAGAAGCACCTTTGGCATGGTACCTGTGGGGTAGCTGCACCCCGAGAGCTCACCCGGGAGTAAGCAAGAGCCTCAGAGGACGTGTCACGGCGTCCCCCCAGGAGAGCCACAGCAGGCCCCACAAGGCCTAGCTCCACCAAACCGCCCTGCAACAGAGACACAGCATGAGTCACAGCCCTGCAGCATGGCGGGGCAAGGGGGTAGCAGCCCTCCTTCCTGGCCATGACTCATCAGCCCCTGGGGTTGGCACCTGACTGTGATCTGCTGCCTGTCAGTTCCCAGCCTCAGAGGGAGCAGGCAGCCATGCACCTCACAGGAGGCAGCTGCTCCGGAGCCCTGGTCTCTGTGCCTTAGAACCAATCACCTACCAGGATGAGCAGATACATCAATTTCCAGAACTCTTGCTTTGCAAAGACTTCTGACTACCCTCACCACCCTCCTAGAAGAACTTTCTTCCAAAGGATGGAGAATGTTCTTAATGGAGGGTGTTACCTAAATGTTTCTCCGTATTCTAAAACCCCAGACAAGGAGACCAGCTAGTGCCTTCTCCAAACCCTGTTGTGCTGGTCACTCAGGCCTGTCCCTGTGCACAGCCTGTGCTCCTGATGATTTCAACGTCGTCTGCAGCACTGATCTCACGCTGGCCTGCGTTACCCCACACACGGCCCCCACATCCCTGCTTCTCTTTAGTCTCCTTGGCCTGCCTCATCTCAGAAACCAGGCCTCTGGCAACTCCCCCCTGACTCCTAGTTCTCTGCCCAAAGACCCCCCAGAGGACCCATGGCAGAGGGCAGCCTAGTAGGGCCTGGCTGCCCTGGATGCTCACCGTCCTCCTTGCAACTGGCAGGTATAGGGCTCAGCATTTCTTTTGCTCCTACAGTCCAGGCATGGTGAGTATGAGAGCCAGTGGCTGTGGGTGCCCCAGGTTCTAGGTGATGAGACAGTTGGGCTGGGCATAAGTGGGGACCCGCCCCAGCCCGCCCTGGGGCTGCCGGTGAGGTGTGGCCCCAGATACCTCTGACCCACATGGCACAGGCCCCAGCTGCCCACC